AGGAAGTTTCATAACAAAAAGAAATGATAAGATCTTGATAGTATCTTGTCAAGATCAAATTCCAAGTATCAAGAGGAGATCTTTGGACATCATCAAAGATGATTGGGGTCTGATTTGTTGGCTTAATGATGGTCATTTAATCAACAAATCAAGCTCCATTCAAATTTGGTTAGTTGTGGAAATATTTGATTTAGTTGATTTAATTTGAATTGCAACTAATCAATATTTTGGAATGATTTTGGGCTGATTGGGGCGCACAATATGGCTGATCATATAATGGTTATTAGGTCAGAATATCGACTAGGTGCAGACTTAGTTTTAATAGGATATGATAGGAGTTTTTTGACTAGATTTGATTTGCAACAACTCCACTCTTTCCTCCACAAAAGAGGCGCTCCATGATCAGATTTTTGGTGAAAAATCTGATTCAGATTTATTCCTCTTTCATCTCCTTAAGTGTTTCCTTTTTGTGATATTCTCCTTAGGTTTTTTGGAAAATAAAAGGCCATTCTCTTCTACAATTTGTGTGACACTTTTTTGTGAGTTATATTGCTAAAAATTCTCTCATCTAAACATATTGAAACCGAGCCTCCTACCTCTTCACAAGGGTTCACTCCTCTCTCAATTCAAGGAATCAGATTGAGGTGATTAAGAGTGGCTAAGTACTTTCAAAGTACAGATTACACAAATTGAATAACTAATAGGTGTATATCTTTAAATGAAAGATGAGCTCAAGTGTATGTAATGATCAAAGTATGTAATCAATGAGCAATAATTAGCTAGAACGAGTAATAAAGATTCAATAATAGATTTATGGTCGTCCGATGTTCATTGTTGATGTGGGTATTTATATTGACATCTCATTTGAAAACTAGCTGTTTATAGCCGTTGGGATCCGTACATATCCGAATATTTATTAGGCCCATATCCGGATATGGATATCTGGATATTCAGAATACAATATCTGAATATTTCATTGTAGCACCCTTTTTGTACGAATTCTGAATTTTTTCTTTCAAAATGATTTCTATAACTTGGAATGCATATAATTGGTTATGGAAACTATCTAGAAGTGTTTAGATCATGTAAGTACCTTTCCAAACCAATTTTGACATATCAAACCATTTATTTTGACATTTCTTTAAAGCTTAGAATTAAATATGCATTCTTTTAAATCAAATGAGTGATTTAAGATCATTAATATGTGTGATTACACTGTGCAAAGCTGCTTAAGTGCTTAAATTATTTTAAAGACCTTTCGATGCACTTTTGACTTGTTAAACCAAGATTTTTAAGCACTTTATGATTATGTAACTATATGTATGACTTGAGCTCATGCAATGCTAAAATCTATACACCTTTACATATCTTTCCTAAGTCCTAAATGAATATACCAATGAGGTCTTGGATTTGGCTTCATTGTTTGAGACTTGATGCTTGATTTGCATAGCTTTCACATTTGATTGACTTCTTTTGGATGTTGCTTCGTTCTTGAGCATTCCTCTTTGAGTTTGTTTGTTATCATCAAAACTATGTTGACGTGGCATCATCAAGTGTATTAACTTTGAGTTCGTGGCAACCACATCATCACTTTGATTCTTCAACCCTAGGATAGAAACCTATTTAGTAAAATAATTAATTAGTATTTACCAAAAAAATAATTAATTAATAATACAATAATTAAATAGTAATTATATTTAGTGTTTTAGGTAAATAATAATTATAATTAAAGAAAGCCTAGGATAGAAACATATTTAAAAAATAATTACTGTAATGAAATACTTAAATAATATTTACAATTAGTATATAATTAGTATTTTAGATAAATATTAAATATAATTTAGGGTACCCTATGATAGAAATTATTTAGTAAAATAATTAATTAGTAATACAATAATTAAATAGTAATTATATTTTGTGTTTTAAGTAAATAATAATTATAATTAAAGAAAGCATAGGATAATTTACCCAAAAAAGAAAGAAAGCCTAGGATAGAAACATATTTTAAAAAATAATTAATGTTATGAAATAATTTACTAATATTTATAATTAGTATATAATTAGTATTTTAATTAAATATTAAATATAGTTTAGGTTACCTTGGGATAGAAACCTATTTAGTAAAATACTTAACTAGTAATGAAATAACTAAATAGAAACTATAATTAATGTTTTAAACAAATAATAATTATAATTAATGAAAGCCTAGGCTTCTTTGGTTGAGGCAAAACTCACTTTGATGATTTATATGCCTCGAAAGAATTAGTGTTCGGCTGTCGGCTTGGGGATATCTAGAAAAAACTCAAAGAAAGCCTAGGGTAGAAACATATTTAAAAAAATAATTAATTAGTAATGAAATAATTAAATTATAATTATAATTAGTATATAATTACTATTTTAATTAAATATTAAATATAATTTAGGGTACCTTAGGATATAAACCTATTTAGTAAAATAATTAATCAGACTTTACCAAAAAAATAAATAATTAGTAATGAAATAATGAAATAGTAAATATAATTAGTGTTTAATTAAATATTAATTAAAATTGTTGAATCCCTAAAATAGAAAGCTATTTAGTAAAATAATTAATTAGTAATAAAATAATTAAATAATAATTATAATTAGTGTTTTAGTGTTAATTATAATTATTGATTTATTTGTAAATTTATATTAGTTAAACGATTGGTGACCACCCCTGCATTGACCCTGGTCCCAAAGTGTAGGCGTACTCAATCAGGTTGTGCAGCGGTCACACTGATCACAAGTCGTGTCGAATAAGAGACATTTGCGGTCTGTGAATGTGAGGCGAGCCTCACAGGGTAAAGGAAACATAGATGTGCATAACCCATATGACATACACCACCTGATGTATGCAGGTTTCTGGCACACGACTCGCATGAGACGAATATCGATATGTTTACTTTTGATTTAATTATTGTCATTTATTTTTTAATGATACCGATAACAAAGGACCCTTATATTTCTGTTATTAATTTATTTATTTGGCAGATTGACCATGGGCTTATTACTGCGTTGGTAGAGAGATGGAGGCCGAAGACTCACACCGTCCACATGCCTATTGAAGATATGACTATTACTTTACAGGATGTAGAGGCCATTCTAGGTTTGGCCACTGAGGGGCGAGTAGTTTCTGGCTATACGCATGGCAACTGGCGGGATGTAATCCATCACTATATGGTAATCAATAATGTTCCTTTATATTTACCGTGCAGATGAGTACTGTCCACCTGTATAACTGGTTTGCACCATTTGAACGCCTCACGACATTGACAGAAATTCCAAAAAGCACCTTGAAAAACCTAATACCCATTAACAACCTATTGATTGGTGACATACGATTCATCTTAAATATGATAAACAGATACCGGAGAAAACTGTAAATCTGACTCGTCCTATTAACAACCTAATTGCCCGAACCATCTCGGCGAGAACACATATGAATCATCCCAATCACTGTAAATCTTAGCAATTGCTTTCTATTTTTCCTTCCACACTTTCCTGTAAGAAACGTGAAATCCAAATAGACCAGTCACATGTTCTTGTATCAAGATCATGGGTACTGAAGGTGAAACCTTGAGCATATCTTCCATCCCATTCACAACATGCGCGCATTAGGAATGTTATTTACGCTCACTGATAAACACATATAATTATCAAAATGAATAGTTAAAGAATGCATAATACCTATTTTGGCCTCAGAAATAAATTGGGAATCAAGCTGTCTGTGATCTTGGAAAATGATTTTGCTCACACAACTATGATTTCCAACCCATTTACTAACCACCCAGGTGCTGCTATCCTTCAGTTTAATTGCTCTTACTCGCCAATTGCAACCTTGTTCATGGTTCCGATATTTCATAGTCAACTTGGTCGTAATACTCCCAACCACTACAGCTTCTTAATGTTCCTTCATGCAGTAATTTTTTATTGATGCTTGGACATCGCGCTTGGACCTGAACTCTTGTTTCACATACATTTCCTCTCCTCTTGTCCATGAACCACGACCTAACCTTCAACATGCAGTTTGTCTTCGTTCAGGTAATCCTAATTAATAGCGCCATTGCTTGGAATCACGTTTCAAAATTGTGTAATATCTACATATACACACATAATAGCTATGTAGCACCGACTCGACACGCGACACGTGACACGACACGACACTCCGACATGTCAATCTTAAAAAAATATGAATTTCGACACGTTCCAACATGTTTTAATATTAAATAATATTTTTAATTTATATAATGTATATTTCATTTAATATTCAATAATTTAACAAAAAAATAAAACTAAACTAATAATATCCATCAATTTAACCAAAAAAAAACCATTTCCACAATACCATTATATTGATCTAAAGCAAAATAATAGCATATCCATACAAAAACATAAAACATGGAGGTTATAGATTATCTTCATGGAACATTTTCATCTAGAATAACATTTGACTCCATCTCTGGCTCATCAAGTGAAAGAGTAGCAACTTCAAGAATTCCAACATCTTCAAATGTATCAAATGTATCTCCAGCAATGTCCCACATTCTGTTATTCCCTTGTGTATATTGTGAAGTCTTTCTTGATAAGAGCCTAAGGTTGCTATGTATATAAACCAAGTCTTCAGCACGTTTTGGAGTCATCTTATTCCTTCATACAGAATGCACAAAAGAATAAGTACTCCAATTGCGTTTAGCACAGGATGAAGAAGAAGGTTATGCAACAAGTCACAATGCTATCTTTTGAAGCATAGGTGAACAAGCACCATGAAGCACCCACCAAGCTTTGGGCTCCATAGAATATCGATTTTGCATGGCATCATAATCTCTAAAACCTCCACTCATACTAGCAAAGTCCACATACTCCAAATTTATTTTATTTCGGTCCTCCAAGTTAGGAAAGTATCTCTTTAAGCATTTTTGTCTTTCTTGATTAATCTCTAAATCCTGGTGTGGAGGAACTCGACTAGGATCTTCATTAAGTCATTGTTCACTATAGTATCTGAAAGAAAAAAAAGAAAAACAATTAAACAAATTATATCAAATAAGAGAAGTATTCAATTCATTCATAATTAAAAGCTTACTTGGGATTCAAAGCATGTGCCAAAGAATGAAGTGGAGTTGAATGTTTGGTCCAACGATCCACAAGAATGCCATGCACCACCTCATAAAAAGTTGAGGTCTCATCCATCCTCTTCAATTCATGGAAGTATATAGCTTTCTTCACTCTTACAATCATGTCATCCCACATATCATAAATCAAATGAAGACAAGGTTTATCAGTGTCACAAATCCTGATCATATTATAAATAGGAGCAGTGGAAGCAAGTATATAATCAATTGAATCCCACCAAAGATCATCCAAAATCTTATCTTTAACCATTCTTGCCCGTCCTAGATTATCATCTTTATACAAACTCCATTTTTCACTGATTACCATATTTTGGAGACCACATTTTATCAATTTGAACCTCTTTAGCATCACAATCATGGAAGCAAAGCAGGTTTCAGCTATAGAAAGCAACTTCAATCCCACAAACTCATTAAACATTGACAGTCTCATAGAATGATTCATTATGAAGTGCTTTATTGCAGAAACATCTCCAACAATATCAGAAATCCAACTACATTCCTCATATGCTATTTGATTATTCTCCACATTTTTTGCAGCACAAATATTTTTCACAGCTAAATTCAGTGTGTGAACAACACATGGTGTCCAAGTAATAGATGGAAATTCTTGCTCAATAAGATGCCTTGCTCCCTTACAATTTGCAGCATTATCCGTGATTACTTGAACTACTTTTTCATGCCCAACTTCTTGAATTACTTCTTTTAACAACATCCTAATAAAATGTCTATCCTTAGTCTCTCCTGAACAATCAACTGATTTCAAAAACATAGCTTCACCATCAGATACTGCCATGAAATTAATAAGTGGCCTCCTTTGTGAATCATTCCATCCATCACTCACAATACTAACACTCTTGTTTTTCTACCCAGCTCGAATAGGTGCACACAACCTATCAACATTTTCCTTCTCTTTCTGCAAAAGAGTGGTTCGCAAGGAGTTATATCCTGGTGGCAAATAACCTCCAATATTATTATTTGCAGCAAAAGTGAAGGCTGCTTGAAAGTATGGGTTCCTTGCTAAAGTGAATGGAAATCCTGCTGAATAAAATATCCTAGCAATCAAGTGGTTCAATTCTTCTCGTGCCCCAACATTGAATGCCCTCTCAATAGGATTTCTAGATGAACTTCCACCCTCACTTCCACTTCTTCTTCTTTTCGAGTTTGATTCTACGAAAAAACTAGAAGGGGGTAAAGGCACATTTTTAGGTGCATTACTCTTCAATCTCTCACTAGTTTCTTGTTCTAATTTCTCCATCTCTAGCAAGTCTTTTGTCTCCACAACTAAACATCTTGCAATTCCTTCCCCTGCTATTTTAAGCAAATGAGCCCTTATTCTAGTATACGAACTTTTAAAATCCTTTTCACAAAAATTGCATTTCCAAGATAGATTCCCTCCTGCTTCTGTTGTGGTGCCTACTTTGGTAACATATTTCCATAATGGCTTCCTTAGAAATTCATCATCTCCACTACTTGCAATACTTGAATCCATTATAAAAAATATAAAATTAAACACTATTAGGGATGGCAAAAATGAGCCAACCCGTCGGGTTGGCTCGTAACCCGCACAAAACGAGCCGGGTTGGGTTGGCAAAAATGAGCTGCCAGCTCGATTTAGCCCGACCCGAGCCAACCCGAGCTCAAACGAGCCAGCTCGCGGGTTGAACGAGCCAGCTCGCGGGTTACTCTTTTTTTTTTTTTTTTTTTACAATGGACTTTACTGATGGATTCTCCACTGATGGACCTCTTTTATTTTTTATTTTTTGGCTTTACATACGTTTTATGGTTATCGTGAGTTAGAGTAATTCAAAAAATCATGATAAATGACTCTTGTGATTCGTGGAGTGGTTTGTGTTTCATTTAATGTTTTTGGATTTTGTAAACTACTCTACTTGTAGTTGGACTGCAAAATACAATAATTTTATACAGGAAAACAAACCACAAAAATTAAATTTTTTGAGCCAACCCGCTAGCCAATATTTTGAGCTAACCAACCCGCGAGCCAACCCACTAGCATCATTTCGAGCTAACTCGCGAGCTTTTTTTGAGCCAACCCGTGAGCTTTTTTACGAGCCAACCCGCGAGCTGATTATCGAGCCAACCCGCGAGCCAACCCTAACCCGGCTCGGGTCGAGCCGGGTTGGATTTTCTGGCTCGTTTTTTTTTTTTCGAGCCAACCCGACCCGACCCATTTTTTTCGGGCTGAATGCGGGTTGGGCCGGGTCGAGCCGGGTTGGCCCGTTTTGCCAACCCTAAACACTATGAACAAAATAATTACTTATGCAAAATATAGAACAATTAAATTAAAATAGTAGCATAAAAAATAATTCCATAATGGATTCGTATATTATACAGATCAAACAGGACAACTCATTCTTAGTTAAACCAGAAATTGATGGACCATTCAAGATAACAAGCAAAACATGGAAAGAGGAAAATGCAAACCTTTATAGCTCCAGTATTGTCACGCTCCGCACCTACAACTTCTAAATTTAACCTTCGTGATGGGAAGTTCCAATTCCAAGGCTATGTGACTGACTCATGCGAACCACACCACTGGCAGATAACAATCATAATATCAAACTATATATGATGGAGACCAGGACAAGTGGCTTAAAGAACACAGAAAACATTACATCAGAAAATCAATGCTGAAGACAGGGGGAGGGGGGAAGAAGAGCATACCGTAGCAACTAGCAAGTATGTAAGAAAACACAGAATTGTTACATATGTTAAGTGATGCCCAAAGAATCAATAATTCAAAAGGGCAACAAATTACAAAATAGAACTGGAATTTGTCGACAAAATTGCTCTGGACAAAAGGCTGAGTTAATTTTTAAAAAAAATTAAATACCAAACCCAGCAAACTTGTTTCATTAGAAATGCAAGACAGCACACTGAAAAGCAACACCAAATGGACCTCAAGAAGGGGCATATTCTTAATAAGACAACAAGTTTTTCGGTGTGGTAAGAGCGTGACATTACATAGCCTTTATAGCTCCAGTATTGTCACGCTCCACACCTACAGCTTCTAAATTAAAATTTTCGATTTCGCTGTAAATTTGTGTTATGTGAGCTCGTGTCTATCAGTTAAGAAATCAAACAACTACATAAAGAGGGAAGGAGAGGTACCAGTAAAACAAAACAAATAGGAGACCAGAGCACAGCGATGCCGAGAGAGAAAGAGGAGAGGAGAGACTCATACCAGATTCAGAGAGAAAGAGGGAAGGACTTCCAGAGACGAAAGAGGCGATGCCATTTGCGTTTGCATCTTGCGTTTGCGTTTTTTACGTTTGCGTTTTAGGTTTAGGTTTTTTTATAATTTTTCTTTTTTAATAATATTTAATTTTATTAATATATTTAATTTTTCTAAAATTTAATTTTTCTAAAATATAAATTTTTTTAAAAAAATTGTTTTTTACGAAAATGCCATTTGACCGTGTCGGACACGGTCAAATTCGCGTGTCGGAATGGTCAACGTGTCGGAAAAAGTCAACCGCATGTCCGACACCGTGTCGGAGCGTGTCGCCTTGTCGGTGCGTGTCGGACCTGACTCTTCCTGTTTTTACAAGTGTCGGTGCTTCCTTGCATAATAGGGTAGATGCAGAAACATGGTAACTAATAAAAAAATAAAAATTAATAATACAACTCACTACCTAACCTGATGATGGTGGAACAACTGCTGGATTGGACATAGGGATACCAATCTCCTGTGACATGAGATTATCATGATGTTCGTCACCTGCAACGCTGTCATTCTAATAATGGTCATTTGCCAACAGAGTGTCTTCATCTTCCTCTTGGTCCTCATTGTCAAGTTTAACATCTACCATATAGTCACTTTCTTATCCATGTGAAACGTTTGATTATGTGGGGTAGGACACAAACGACGATACATAATGTGATCGACTATTGAGGTCCAGCCCACGAATCGGTATCGATAAATCTTCTGATGTCTCCATATCCACGTATAACTCAACAAATTGAGATGTAGTGTTTTCGACGAATGTTCTAAGGAAAACATCCATGTTCTCATTGTTAGATATCTCAAAACCTGCATATTTGCAATCTCCACACGAGACTCTATACATAACTGAAGATATTACCTGATTTTTTTGTAGCTTCAACTTCTGACGGATCTTTTCATACAGATCTTCAGTGGACATGCCTCGGACAATATACAATGCTCTTTTTCCCCTTTGAAGCTTAAACTTCCTTTACCTATACTTTTACTACCATTGTAATAAATGAACGAACAAAATTGATCATTGTAGTAGTGTTTTTATGCACATAAAATACAAGTTATAGGGTATATTATGTCTTAAAATAGGGATGCGATAAATAACATGATAAGATACAAAGGGTGACTGTGAACTATAAATCATAAATTGCAACTAATAAACCTGTTTTTTTTTTTACTCTTAATTTTATTTTACTAACTAAACATAAAAAAAATTAATTTACAAATCAATTTTTTTTTGTTATGAAATTTCACATTAAAAATTAACAAGATACGAAAAATTATTTTTATTTATAAGAAATTTGAATATTTGATTAGTTATATGACTTATTATTGACTGTTATATGTACCAAATATAAATTATGGGTAAAGTATGTGTCATTTTAAAAGATGTAAAATTGTGTTATTTTAAGAGATAGAAAGAGATAGATAAAGAAAGAGAGAGAGAGAGAGTTGACAAAAAAATAAAGGTGTGGGTCCCACTTCTTTGTGAGAGTGAAATGATATAAGTTGTGTGTAACGCCCCTCTTGTATGCATCCAAGAGATGCGTTATTGCTAACTTGTATTAGAGTCGCAACGGAAAAAAAATTGGTTTAACGGTTGCAAAAGCTAAACACAAAGAATCTTTACTGAACTACTCGAGATTAGAAAATCTTGTACTTAAAATTGTTTATTCATGAAAACAGCGAAAGTTTCAAAATAAGCGCTTGCTGAAATTTTTTCTTTTTACCAGAAAAACGTACTGTTCTCTAAAGTTCATATAAAATCAATCTGATGTCGGGTAAAAATGATTCTTCGCTACGGTGAAACTAGATACACGGGGCTTCGCGTCCATATAAAATATGTGCGATTCCGAGATGAATAGCCCCTTGAACTCGAACTAGCAAGTTGCTCGCGAATTCTGCGAATTTTCTTAAAAACCTGCTGTCTTGCGTTATTTTTCAGAATTCGTACAGTTACCATAAAATTTGGATTTCTGCAGATTCTTAAAGATACTTTCAGGGGCTTCGCGTGCATATAAATTATGCCGCATTCGAAGGGTCGTAGCCCCGGGACGCCAACTTTTAAGTTGCTCGCAAAATAACAGTTTTCAGAAAAAAAATCCATACGTCCAAAAAACATAGTCATTAATCCAAAACAGCAATTAACCAAAAGTTCAAGATCAGTAACTGGACCAGAATTTTTCCAAACAAAATAAACAACTTTTGTAAAATCCAAAATAACAGAATAATGAAACTTCAAGTTATCCTTCTTGCAAACACAGTCACCCAACTCAACAAACAGCCATGAATCCAGCTACGGGTACACAAAACAGCCAAGCATCGCATAACAAAACATCAAATACTTTTGCGTCCTCCTGCCATTGTACATCAAAAAACAGCAGCCCCAAAGGGGTGAGAAACATTTCCCAGTAGTGTGAGACAATACCAAAATGCAAGAAGCATAAGCTAGAACCCGAAATAGTTGAAATAACAAGATTTATCATATATATATATATATATATACATGCTGCCATATGCTAAACAAGATGCGTAAAACGCCAAGAGTACGTTAT